TCGTGTGTAGCGGTGTGTAGCGAAGAACACCAGACTCAGAAAGACAGTCACGTGTCTTCTCCCACAAGGAAGACTGAGATTTAAGAATATAAGAAATATGAAAGCGGAGAGAAAGAATGGGTTAGGGTTAGGGGTGAGGGGATGCGGATGAACTCGGCACACACACACACACACAGGGTGTCAAGGCGAAATACACTATTCTGTATGCTAACTGAGAGGTCTCAACAGTCACGTGGCTAAAACGGGACCCAAAAGAAAGAGTGTGGCAGAGAAGCCTTGACACGGAGAAAACGGAGCCACGTCACTTTACGTCCTCCAGTGACACTCTGAGGGATGCAATGCTTTAATCTTACACAAATGAATCCCAGCAACAGAAAAAAGGACTCTACCTCATCCTAGGGGATTTAGAACAAACAAACAACAGTGACGCCAAAACTTGGTAAGAAAAGAGAGCTAAGGCCTGGAGAGATGGCTCAGTAGTTAGGAGCATCCACATGGCAGCTCACAATAACACATAACCCCAGCTCTAGAGGACCCAACACCTTCTTCTGACCTCTGAAAGCACAGGGTATACACATGGTACACAGACTCACATGCGGGCAAACACTAATTAACATAAAATAATGTTTTAAAAAAAGAAAAGAGTTTAGTTTTATAGAGCTGAACTACACTCCTGAACAGAGACATAAGACCCTAAGAATCATCATTAAATGTACAACTTACACAGAAGATTTAAACAAGCGCTATTACTCCAGGAAAGTAAGGTTAATTTAATATGTTTTACAAATCAACTAAGGAAATTCATCACATTAAAGGGAAAACATATATAAATAACAGTGAATACAGAAAAATAATTTGACATCTATCCAAGATTTAGGAAATAAATAGAATATTAAAAAAAAAAACTTCTGCACTGGACAAAGCAGTCTATAACACACCCCATCAATACTTCTGGTTACGACAGTGAGTCCATTTGGGGTTGGCCACCAACACAGCACTGGACCTACAGAGACTTTTCATCTCACTACGCTGCGGTGGGATCTCGACAGCACAGCCAGGAAAAGAAGCCACAGCCACAAGGACTGGCAAGGAACACGGATGTTATTTGCATATGATATGATTGATTACCTATAAACATTCCAAAAGAATTTACAATACATGATGGAATTAAGAAATTTAAATTATTTCTGCATGCTGTATTAATCCATTTTGGTTTTTTTTTTAACTATATTCATAACCTTGGACACAGCTTGTGGCTCATAGGCCTAAATGTAGCACATGCTCAGTAAAAATCATGTTTAAAAGTTCATGCCTGCACTATTTCTAAAACCATAAACATTATACAGCAATAAAAGCGCACAGTATCGCTATGTGTAACAACAGTCCCATGGGAATGCTCAGAAACAAATGATCAGTAGGAAGAACAAACACAAGAGAGAATACATGGTATGTTTTTAAGCGTTATATTACACTTTATTCATTAATTTTGTGAGTGTTTGTACGCATGGGCGTGTGTGCAGACAACTTGTTGATTCTCTCATTCCACCCTGTGGGTCCTAGGAACCGAACTCGGGCTTTCAGGTTTCATGGCAAGCACCTTTACCCGCTGTGGCAGTTTGAATGAAAACGGCCCTCACAGGGTCATAGGAAGTGACATTATTGGTAGGCCTGGCCATGCTAGAGGAAGTGTGTCACCTAAGGTTGGGCTTTGAGGTTTCAGAAGCTCAAGCCAGGCCCAGTGTCTCTCTTCCTGCTGCTTCCTGATCTGGGTGCAGACCTCTCAGCAACTTCTCCAGCTCCATGTCTGCCTGCACCGTGCATCCCACCGGGATGATAATGGACTAAACTGGACTGTGAGCCAGCTCCAATTAAATGTTTCCTTTATAAGAGTTGCCATGGTCATGGTGTCTCTTCACAGCAGTAAAACCCTAACTAGGATACCGGCTAAGCCACCTCATTGACCTGATTATTTTTATATGAAATTCACATATAGACAAAATTGGCCAATGGTGCTCAAAATTAGGGAAGTGATCATCTTGCAGGGGGAGTGGCTTAAGGCACAAAGGGACTTCTTCAATGTAAAATAATGTTCAACTTGTTGGTCTGGATGTTGTTATGTGGGTATGTTAACTTAAAACAAAACAAAACACAAGGCTGGAGAGATGGCTCAGAGGTTAAAAGATCTGGCTGCTCCTCTAGCGACCTGAGTTCAATTCTCAAGACCCACATGGCAGCTCACAACTCTATGTAACCCCAGTTTCAGGGGATCCGACACCCGCACACAGACAGACACACAGTCAAACCGCCAACGCACAAACAAACAAAACTTTAAAAAACCAGACTAGAGATCAGTGCCCTTTCTTACATGTACAATTCAATTTAAAGTATATAACACGACGATCCACAAACCAAAACACAGAAAGAAATGCAGCTGCAGAGCTGGGATACAGCTCACCTAGACACAGATGTTAACGGTGGGTACAGATGTAAGAAGATACACGTTTACATGTATTTATGAGGTATGCAGATACAAGATTTAGATATCTATTCTATTGGATGTTATAACTGACACGTGTGCATGTATGCCGCATGAAAAATAAACCTGTATTCCTCACATCACACAGAAAAGTTCCGGGTGGACTCTAGGCTGAGAACCAAGGTCACTCAGCCCCAGGACCCTGAGATGCCTCTGCCATTGAGAGACCAATCACAGAGACCATCACAGGCCAAAACATGGGGCTGGGGGTAGGCGAGAGAGGGTACTGCAGAGTAAGCATTGATCTCAGAGGGAGACGGGGAACACTGTTGGAATTATCTGTAGATACAACAGATAATTGGGCACAACCAAAGGGAGGAACTCGGGTGTGTGCTGGGAGGAAGTTTCCCCAGGCGAGAAAGGGGAGCAGCTATATCTGAACAGTGGAGGTTTTAAGTGGATTGAAATGACCGCTACATCATGGACAACGAAAAAAGTTGTGGCCAGGGCACGACAGCACAATGGCAGTGGGACGAGAGAGGCCACAACAAGTGTGGGAACAAGCTGAATAAACTAAGTTGAACACTTCCCTGAGTATTAAGAGGTAAGGACAGATTAGAGAAGGGGTTAAAAGTCTGGCGGAGCTCGGGTCTGACGAGGTGGGCATTGGGGCGCCTGGGCAGGTTCTCAGTGGACGAGGGAGACAGTAGCAATATTAGCAAAACAACAATAAAAACAGCCCAGTAATTTTGGCCGCGTGCCAGGCTCTGTGACAAGTCCTTTTCAAGGACTCTAGGATTTAGTCTCTTCAATAATCCTTTTAGGATTCCCATGTTACTTAAGGAAACAGCAGCCAAGACTGGGGTCTAAGGGGAAATAATTCCCCGGATGCACACAGCTGGATCGGCGGAAATAAGTGGGAAAAGGAGGTCTAGCGTCAAAACTCAGATCTGATGAGTGGTTTAGGGGGTAGAAGGCTTCAAAAGCAAATAAAGGGAAAAGCTAGCGGGACAGAGCTCCCTGAGGTCACACGTGGGATTCACGGAGTGAGGCACCGGCAGAACCCATTTAGGTGAAGATGACTTGAAAGACACCACCAGAAGCCTGGGGGGAGATGAATCAGATGCTTGGGGTGGAGATGGAGTCCAACTTTCCTAACCTGGAAAATGAGGAGCACAGTTTTGACGGAAAGAAAGCAGAAAGGAACGGGATGCAACAGAAAAGAGAACAGGCCCATTCTTCCTGGAGATCTCTACCCAAACGGCCCCGAACTGCTCCGAACTCCTTCCTTTGTCCCATTCTTCCAAATTACAATCTCACTCTCTGGGGGACATTCATTCATTCATCTGCAAGCTCGCAAGCTGGATGAAAAGACACCTATCAGGGATAGGGAGACGGCTCAGGCAGTAAAGTGCTTGCTGTGCAAAACATGAGGGCCTGATTTTGATCCACCCACATAAAAAGCTGGGTACATCTGTAATGTGAGCACTGGGAGGCAGAGACAGGAGGACCCCTGGGGCCTGCTGGCCAGACAGTCTAGCCCAAAGCAAGAGCTCTGAGTTTGGCGAGAGACCTTGTCTTAAAAAAAGAAATAAATGGGAAAAGAACTGAGGACCTGATTCCGACCTCTGCTCTCCATGAGCACATACATACACACACACGCACGCACGCACGCACGCACGCACGCACAACTATAGAATGTGAGTCCCCTGAGAGTGGTCCTGAACCTGCTCCGGCAGTTACAGTTCCCACCGTCTCAGCATGCCCAGTGCTCTAGGGAGGGACAGCTCACTTCCTGTTGGCTGCCTTCCTGTCCCTTCCTGGGGTCAGCTTCCAGGTAAAATATAAAAGCCCCAACTTGTCCTTGCGAAGATGGCATCAGCATCCAAACTTCCGGAGAGCCACACTCTGAGGGTTCCACTCGAAAGGCTGCTGTGAGTTCCAGGGGCAGGTGGTACACTGTCTGCAAGGGACTGGGCAGTCGGTGGTATGCAGGAAGTGTCTAATTAGCGTTCTCTGAATTCATGGGTGAGCCGTTGCCCTCCGTTTACCCACTTGTCTTCAGCACTTTCCCCAGCCAATCCCTTAAAGCGGTTTCATACACGCGAAATACGCCAACGTACACCTCTGAGGCAGGAGTACACTCCCACCACCGAGTTCGGGTTCCCTGTGGACCCCTTCACGACAGCCTGGGAGCCTGGAGCAATGGTGGCCGTGTCTCTCCCTCTGCTGCTTCTAACCATTCGGCCACAAGCATCTGAAGCGTAGCAGGATGGCCAGAGGACGATCAAACGAGAAAGCAGTTATGGAGCTGTTCCTGTATTCACACGCACAAGCTTGTTGAGCTGTTCCTACTTCCAAAGCCAAATAGTGAGAGGAAATCTGTTCAAGGGTTAGAGATGCCCCAGCAACTAGGCTGGGTGGACTGTCTTGGGAATTCAGAAAAAACATGTTGTTGGCAGAATCTTTTTTTTTTAACCAAGTAAGTGAATGTGCTTGGAGGTGGCTGAAGACAACCTAAAAGATGAAGATGAAGGATGGAAGCCTCACCAACAAGGACCTAAGGGGCCCCTCCATCACTACGGTCTTCTACATGAACACGAAAGTCAACAGGCAAAATCCCATTTCCTCCCAGAATGAACAGGAAGCTTCCCCGACCTGCACTCCCACTTTTCTAGGGGGGAGACTCCATTTTGACTGTGGGGTGCCACCGCTCCCAGACAGGAAACCAGCAGAACACGTGTACATGGTCAGTGGGTGGGAAAGGCTGCAGTTCTGAGTTCAGGAACGGGAGATGTGAGCTCCCGTGGCTCTTAAGAGCATCCAGGAGTTCAGCTCCAGGAACGCAGCTGCCTTAGTTTCTTCACCTGAAGCACCATCGTCATTGTTCTTGGTCATTGACGTCATGACTAGGTTATTCTGAGACTCAGAGTAAGGCAGCAAGTAGGATCTAATGAAACAAGCGTGATTTTTCTGTTACCCAAATGGCCAGTCTTGCCCAGAGCAAGTTACTGTTTCTCAATAATTCTACATGCTAACATAGTCCCAAGGCCCAGTGCAAAGGTTTTAACTCAGAGGCACTTATGAACTCATCGGCAGAGTGTAGCTGATCTCATTTTAAAGTCCATACGACTTTGAATGTTTACGTTTTCGGCGACAGGGCTTCTCTGTGTGGCCTCGGCTGTCCTGGACTCACTTTGTAGACCAGGCTGGCCTCAAACACAGAGATCCCCCTGCCTCTGCCTCACAAGTGCTGAGGTTAAAGGCGTGTGCCGGCACCACCTGTCTTACCTATACAACTATTAAGTTCGCTAAATCAGAACGTTTCTGGGTTTCCAAAGTCGACCTTGTATGACACGCTAAAACCCCCCTCCCAAGGAGAACTTGCTCATCCAGATCTCTGCCTCGGAACTGGGCACACACTAGGCCGCACTTGGAAAAGCCCTTCAGGGATAACCATACCGGCACCCTGGTACCTGACGGGCATCCTTCCATAGAAAAAGCAAGCCCTTGGGTTGAGCATGGAGTTGATTTGATAGTTCTTGCCTACTATGCACAAAAACCCAGGTTCGATCTGAGGGTGCACACCTGTAACCAGACAGGAAGATCAGGAGTTCAAGGCCATCCTTGACCACATAGCAAGTTCCAGGAAATCCTCAGGTCCATGAGACCCCACCTCAAAACCAAACCAACAAAACAATCGAAAACCAAAAACAAGTCCCATGAATACACGCAGTGCTCAGCCCCAAAGCAGAACAGCTCTGCGGCGGTGAATGGCTGTAGAAGGTTTGGCTGGTTTTCCAGGCCTATACACACTCTGCCTTCCTTGAAATGCAGCCGGGAGGAGGCCTTAAACAGCCTACCCATGAAAAGCTTTATTCAGCGCAATTCAATAACTGAAAGTTACTCACAATCATTTCCATCCACTACTGCGGCCGACAATTTTGTGCTCTCTACTAGTTTCATCTTTTAGAGGAAATGCTTTCTTTAAAAAATGGTTGGAAGCTCTGTGGCTTCCTCAAACACTGATTATTTTAATCATGATCTCCAGCCCCATGCAGACAGGAGGAGCATGGCAGGCACAATGCAAGTAATGGCAGAGCTCAGAGTAGGAGCTGCCTGTCCTTTCTTTCCCTAGATTCCCCAGCTGTGCGGGCCTCCAAGGATCAATGCAGAGAGATTGGCTGTGTCCCTCCGAAGAACAAGCCAACTACCCACAGCTCGCCTGGGTCTCTGCTGAGCCCTCCACGCCTCAGGCTTAGCTCATGTGCTTGTGGAAATCAAGGTTGGGGCTGGCAAGATGGTTCAGTGGGTACAGGAGGGTGCAGAAGAGCCTACGTGGCACCCAATATAAAGCAGGAACTTTGGAAACTTGGGCTTTGACCTCCACGGGCACAGCCACACTTCCACCACACGCACTAATGCTACTACTACTGATAAAGAAAAAAAAAATATAAGAGTCCAAGATAGAACTTTGTGCAGCCCCTCTAAAAGTCCTCAATACCGGTTGCATCTGGGATGCCAAGGGGCACTGAGCGCAAGTGCCACACTGTGCTCCGGAACCTTCTCACAGTGGAGATAACTGGGTCTATTTGATGATGTTCAAATATCATCCGCCTGTTGTTGGTTTTACCTGACACAAGTCCTCCAAGCTGATTCACGAAGTTTGGCAGACCTGCTCTTCAGGAGCGACACCATACGAGCTATCTTCATCCCTGACAGAACCACGCTGACAGAGACTGAACCCAAGCCTACCAGCAAGTTGACAGTGGGACCACCTGGGACACGACCATCCGTCGTTCCTACAACTTACAAAGGAGGCCTGGCCTTTTCACACCCCTAAAAATGGACTTTCCCCTCTCTCACTACAATCAGGCCTAGGACTTTTCCACACAATGACTGATCAGACCTTTTTCTCTGTGTTTCCAATGGTTTCTCAGGATGTGTTGTAAGTCATAACTAATTGCTACCTTCCCCCCTCCTCTCTCTAAGAACAAGGGTTCTCTGAAATTGTCCCGGCTGAGATGGCACATGGCCCTGAAGGCAGAGTTCCCCTAGGTCCTCTTAAGAGAATATTTGGTGCATGTTAAAAGCAGTGGGTTTACAACTGTGTTGGCCAAGTTCTGAGTTCTAGGGCTAGCCCCAGGTACTGCCTCGAGGGGGATTACGACCTCTGGGCTCCTGGTTCCTCTAGAGTAGCTAGCTCTCCTTTGATTCAGTTCAGATATCAGGGTCTTGCGTAAGATTCTACTTGGTGCTAAATATAAAACAGAAATGATGCCTACAAAAACGTGTGCGGCTCATTCCAATAAGTGGATTTCTTTGGTGTGTGTGGGGGGTGTCTATATACTTATAGCCTATAAAGAGGCTTGCCCTTCCCCCCACCCTTCCAGAATTTGGAACATCCATGAATTGAAGCAGTTAAACACGTGCTTATCCAATGTAAATTTTTTTTAAATAATTATTTCAAAGAGTAAATGCTTTCACAGTTATGATGTGCCTTTCACATAACTTGGGCTTTCTGCTACCAGTGAGGTTGGCATACACCTGAAATGTGCTCTTTATGAATCATTTTCCCCTCATAAACAAGGAGGAAAGTACCTCTCTCTCACTTGCTCTCTCAATCCTTTTCTCCCCCTCTCTCTTCCTCTCTTTTCCTCCCTCCTTTGTCATTTGGTTGGTATTCTGGAACCATTGTTAAAAAGTTGGCACAGCCATAAAAAAAAAAATACGCCAGCTCCAGTGCTTACGTGAGTGACTTTCTGACAACTGAGAATGACTGAGGACTTTATTGAACATCTTGTTAATTTGCATTGGTGAAATAAGCTGTTCACGACAGTGTAAGGATTAAATTCCCTAATTCTAAAGTAAAAAAAAGAAAACCAGAAGCGCCAATGATTGGAAGCGAATTCGCCGTACAACGCCAGGGTCACCTTTGAACTGTTCTGAGCAAACTTTGGGGCAGGGTGCAGAGAATCGAGGTGAATTCTAGAAACCAACAAGTCTCATTCATTTCCTTCGGTTTGTAAAAACAAGCAACTGACAGGTTTCCTGCCAATGGCCGTTTGCTGTTCTTGCAGATAAGAAAGTTCTCAACAGGAAATCCTTTGCTGAGAGACCAGTTACGCCATTAAACTAAAGTTGCTATCAAGTCCTAGAGCACTAAATATTTGATAATGTGGGATTGTGAAATAAACCCAAAATCAAATGATAGACACTCCATGGCTGCAAGCTGTTTCTCCACCATTGATACAGGATATTAAATAAACATTAAAACATATTTAGGAGCGCTTCCATCTCTCCTACCTCCTTGAGGCAATCAGTTGAGGAAAACAGGGGAGATGTGAGGTTCTTTTAGAAAGACCAAACAGCAATTTAAGTGAGTTTTAAAACCATCAAAAAAAAAGTGCACTGCTAAATACACCACATACAGAGAGAAGTTATTTCTAAATATAAAGAACTCAAAATTTAGGGGTCTAGCTAGGAGGTGGTGACACCCGCCTTTAGTCCCAGCATGGGGGAGGTAGAAGCAGGCAGTTCTCTGTGAGTTCAAGGATACCCTGGTCTACAGAGTGAGTTCCAGGTGAGCCAGGACCACATAGAGGAACAAACTGTCTTGAAAAAACAAAAAACAAAACAAAACAAAAAGGGACAGGGCGTCCAGGAGAGATGGTTCAGTAGTTAAGAAGTCTCTTTCAAAGGACCTGAGTTCGGATCCTAGCACCCACATGAGGTGGCTCACAAGAGTCTGTAACTCAAGCTCCAAGGACTTCTGGTAATATGCCCAGACCCACACACAGACACATACACCTACACATAATTAATAGCAAAAATAAATCTGTTAAAAAAAAAAACTTACAATTTAAAGATTGCCATTGACAAGATGGGCCAAAGCCTAGAAAACGTGTTGATTCTTATATCGACAAGTTTTACTAAAGAGCTTCAAAGCCAAAATTTAGGGAAGGTGTATGCTTGGTTATTTCCCATTTAGCAAAAAGCATTGAGAGGGGGCACCGGGGAAGGTGGTTAGGCTTCTGTCCTTGAGTAACATGTATGTCATTCACCATGAGTAACATATGGCTGATATAGCTGCTGGCAGCTTTCGGATGCCTGAAACAGCCTCAAAATGAAAAGCACCCTTTTCCATCCACAGCAGGGGAAAGGTTTCTAAACCAGCCGGGCAGTCTGGAAACAGTCCTCATTCAACTTAGGAGTGTTTCCTTTCCCCGCTCAGCTCCCAAGAACACCCTGCCCATTGCTCCCCGAAGCACCAGACAGTCAGAGCGTCTCTGCCCAGGGCAGCCCGAGAGCACCCGTCCAAAATACCACACAGGCCTTCATGATCAAATGCCTCAGCTCGACCTGGAACCCGCCCGCAATGGCCCTTCCTCCACGGGCCGCATTCTGGTCTCTGAGTCTCTAAAAAGACTTTTGTTCTAACACACACACACACACACACACACACACACACACACACACACACACACCCCTAATAGCAGAGACACAATCCCACAAGTAAAGGCTCAAACGCATTTTTTTTTTCAGCCTTCCCCTTGCACAACTCAGAGGCTACAAAAAATGCTAAGTAAGCATGAATGCTCACCCTGGCTTTCAGGCTTTTCCCTGAACTATTTTCAATAATAATAATAATAATAATAATAAAATAGTTATGAAATCCAGAAGACTGCATTTTTGGTAGTTGTAAAATGACCTTGATTTGACAGGCATGGTCTCAGGTTTCAACAGACGTTGTGGGAAAGCTCAAAGAAGCCAGCATATTCTCCAAGCATCTGTGACGACATGCAGGTTTTAGGTGGTCATGGTAGTGTTTGCATGGGGGGGGTGAGGGGTGGGGTTGGGTTACATGTCTCAGTTTCTATGACAACCATGTCTTCATTCCTGGGTTACTAGATACCATCTACTTCCTGTGTCTAAATTTTTAAACCAATCAGAAAAGTGTTTATACGGTTAACAACTTCTGGGATCCAGCTTCTTTAATGAGGCACTTTAAGGCTCAAATGAAGATGTCCACAAGCGTCACGCTGTCTTACAGTGATCCCGTTTCATCACGCGCACTAATTCGGTCTTCTGCCGCAAAGAACATCCCCTTTCCTGGATGTGAATTTATTCTGCTCAAAGCAGACGCCTGGGTTTCTTGCAATAGTGTGCAAGCTGATGGTGATTGCTTGCTCCTCATTGCCTGTTCTCCCTTTCACTGTCTAAAGACTTAGATTTAGCTCAAGAAACATGCTAATTCACATGGCACTTAAATTATCAAAGTAATGATACTGTTAAGCACCCATCTGCTGGTGTTGCTATTTAAATGCTCAGATGGAAAAAAAAAAATTAGGAAAAATTAATTCCGAGTTGAGCAACTTTGCATTCTACAACTTAGGAACAGAAATCATCGAGACGGTATTGTGAAGCCCCACATCTATCAATGCAAGCTAGAAGCTGACATCTGCAAAGAAATTTGTCACCAAAATGGCCTACTTTATCTGGATAGAAACAACAACAAAAAATTAAAGATAAAGACACCCAGGGCGAGCCAGATGCACCCAGATCAAAAAAGGCAACCACGCAGAAACCCGTGCACAAGAAGGCAGATCTGAAAATACAGCAAGGTTTTAAAAGATGGTTTCGGGTGACTGTTTTCATAAGTCCCCATCTAACTGACCAATCAGTGTGAGAGTTAGAGCGGGCTCCAGACATTCATGCAGTCTTCAGGGCTCTGCGCCCTCAGAGCTGCTCCCCCTGGCTAAGGGAGAGCTGGCGATCAATGAAAAAACAGGGAACAAAAGGGAAACACTGATGTCTTCCTCAGCTGGGAAAGCCGTTCCCTGTTTTCCCTCAATGAGCCAGTAGCACCCAGCCTACGACAGCGCCACGGGGAGCCTCCTCCAGCCGGGTCCAGTCCTTCCCGAGCTGGCAGTTTCGTCTTCGCAATCATGTGTCCCGACGCTAGCACAACCTGGTGACGGAAGGCTCCCGGAGCCCAACCAATTGAAACTAATAAATTAAATAAATTAATAACCCCCACGATTAAAAGCTCCCAAGAAAGACCGCGCTCCCCTTCCCCAAATGTCATCCCCAGACTATAAACAAAGCATGAAAAATAGTCTCTAGGAATCTGGGTTTTTCTCCTCAAGGCAACGTTTTCCTCCAAAACCAGAAACACTCCGGCTCCCTTGAACGGGCACTCTGGCTTGCCCATGTCACGCCGGGGTACGCAGCTCCGGTATTTGAGAGAGAGGTCTGAACTGCCCATAGGCACTCCGTTTATAATTGATAGCAAAACAGCCCGGACGGCGAGGCTGTAACTCTGCCCCGGCCAAACTCCACATTCAGCACGCTAGTTCCCTGAAAATACAAGTCATGCCTGGAGACCCCTCCGGAGCCGCCTCCCTCCTCAGTCATTAACAGAATCACATCAATTATTCGGTAATTTTTTTTATATAAATACCCATTGTCTACGATTTAAAAAAAAATAAAATTGCAAAACCAGTTATCTATAAATTCCAGGTTTTAAAAAAAAAAAAACTTTTCTTTCTTTCTTTCTTGCTGGCTGTTTTTTTTTTTTTTTTTTTTTAATGAACTTACTTTTGAGACAAAAACTAATGAAAATAAGCAACTCGCCATCCCTGGATCCTTCCCATTCTGGGCTGCACGCTATAAATCAATCCGAAACTAGGCGCACCGATGGGGGCGGACACCTTACGATCCAGCCGAGGGTGCCCCCCGGGTGGGCAGAGCTGGCAGAGCGAGGCTCAGGGTGACAATGCTAACCCGGGCAGGGGCTGGCCGGGCGGCCCGGAGCCGCAGTTCCCGTTACCTTCGATCGCCTGCCCCCCCCGCTGCTTCTCGCGGCCGCATTGGGGGGCTGCGGCGGCGCTGGACTCGCGGGGGCCCCCGCCGCCGGGTCGCGCCGTCTCCCCGCCGAGCTGCACCGACCGCGGCCGGAACACCCGGCTCCAGCGCCCGGCGCCCGCCCGGGGTCGGCGGCTCGGCTCCCACCCGGGCCCGGAGTCCTGCTGGGTCCTAGCGCTCGCCGCCGGGGCCGCGGCCCGCTCTGCAGCCTGCACGTACGGCGGGGCGGCCGGGGAGCGGTGGGGGGGGAGCCCCGGGAAAGCACGGGCGGGAAAGCCGAGCCGCCGTGGGTGCGGAGAAAGGGGAAGCTCAGTGCCGACGCCTGGGTACGCGGAGACGGACGCCGGCTCCCGCCGGACTCCCAGAAGACAGATGCTGGGATCTGCAGCCCGGGCGGAGAGCACGAGCGTGGCCCGGAGGTTTGCTCCGTGCACCTGTGGTATAGAGTGCGCTCCCAGAAGGTAAGAGACATCGCGGGATCCTCAGAGATTTCAAGAGCATCAGGGGGAGAAAAGTGGACAGTTTGAAACCAGTTTTCCCCAATCTCCCCCCCCCCCCCCCCCCGTTAACAGTTTTTGTTTTTTTGCATTTTTCTTTCTCTGGCTTTATAATTTGTGTTTTTAAATAACAAAGCCCCATATGGCTCACCACGTAGTCATCTGATTTTCAAAAGACCTCCAAAATTACATCAAAATATGCACTCATGTATCTCCTAAGAAATCAACTAGAGAGAATTAATGATGGCATATGGTGTGCCTCGCAGAGAAAACTTAATTACAAATTAAAACAAATGCGAAAATTCACAAATCCCATAAACCAAAAGTAAATTATGATATTCGATTGAGTCACATATCAACTCATGTGCCATCAGGAGGATGAAAACATTCTAGGTTCCTTTCTCCACAGGGGGAAGCTGCTACCTTGCTGGGAGTTCGCCACACCAGGGTTCCCCGCCCCGGCCCCGCCCCAACTCCCCACATCTACCCTCCTCCTGGCTCTCTGCAACTTTTGGGTTTACTGCGGCCCACCTGGAAAGGTAACTTAAATCCGGCAAGTGTTTCTTTAAGAAGACAGTTCCATCAGCCCGACATCCAAGAGAGAATAGTGCTTTAGCTGGGGGAAACTGTTTGAAAGGCTTGGCAACTGAACGTGTTCCTTCAGTCTGCCGATACCACCAAGTTAGAAGGTCATGCTTCATTCAGTCAGACTGCTAACAGCAACCGAAAGGAAAATCAAAACCGTGGCTTCTGACTTCTATTTTCAGAACAGAAAACGTCCCTTCGAAAAGTGTCTGTTTGCCCTCGCCTTTCCAGTGATGGCTACCTAAATGTAACGGAAGATTTTTAAATATTATTAATTAAACATCACCGCTACCTCTTCTCAGGCCTAGTGTTTATAACAGGGCACTTTCCGTCCATCTTCAGAATACTTCTGCAGTGATCTTTACCGCGCCTCCAAGAGAAAAACAAACATAATTCCCAGCTTTCAAAGGAGACCATGGAGGTCCTTCCCCCCCCCCCCCCCCCCAGGACTGGTCCAGTGCCACCGGGCTGGTGAGCAGGACAGCTGGAATCCCAGCCTCTGTTCTCCCACACTTGCAGCAAGCCCTGGTCTTCAAAGCAGCATACCATCTACCCCCCCTTCTCTACTTCTCTGTAAGCACTGTGGGAATGCAGGTAGGTTTCCCACCTGTAGCGGAGTCCCAGCCTACAGCACAGCCACAAGAAGCTGCTTGAGAAAAAAAAAATCCCCTGTTGAGAAATGTTGCTGGCAGGACCTGGGCTGTTCAGATTTCTCTCCTGGGGCTTTCAGCTCCAGGCTGAGCAGAGCCACAGCTATGTGCACCGTTTTTTGTCCTTTTTGCTTGTTTGTTTTCTGTCAGGGACAGAACTTTACACACAGGGGCATGTTTCTGCAGAGGAAACTGATCTCTTCCTAGTGTGCCCTCCTGAAGGACTCCGTTAGCCCCGAAGTCAATGGTCTTAAATATAAGGTGAGCCATTATTGAGACCAGGAACGTGTCCCGGGCAGACCTGGCTGCACCTGGCGCCTGATGGGCCTTGCTGGCATCACCTCTCAACCCTCCTGCACCCGTGGGAAAGTCAGCAGCCAGGTCTGTTTGCGGCCTTCCACTTCCTCCTCCTCTCTGCCAAAACGAAATGTCACTTCTCGTGATTTGTCCCAACCTGTTGCTAGCCAGGCTGAAGGCCTGAGTGACATTGAACCCAACAGACAGAAACTTCCAGAAGTGAGGAAGGGGGCTAGTCAGGGAGGTACATGCACCTTCCTGGGGAACTGCTGGGAAGCATTTGGGTAAAATTCACCTGATGCATTTATCTGGTCTCTGCGAAAACAATGATGACTTTATAACCATCCCATCCACGTAGCCTCAAAACAGTGTGAACACTAGGCTCCGAGTAACCAAAAGGACATGGTGATATGCCCCAAGCAGCCCCGTTACTAAGCCAGCTCAAGGCTGGAGCATACTAGAAGAGGTGTCAGTGATGTGAAACTGTCGAGTGTTCATTCATTCTCGAATGCACTCATTCCTCCAGTTAGGACTGGATCAAGCATTAAGCAAGGTATTACTCTAGGCAGTGGCAATGAAAAGGCTGTTGTCCTAGTTCGCCTCTCTGTGGCCGTGATAAAACACTGGCCAAACGCAGTTTGCAAAGAAAGAGTTTATTTCATCTTACAAGTCCCAGTTGATAGTCCATCACGGAGAGAAGTCAGGCAGGAACCTGGAGGCAGGAGCTGAAGCCGAGGCCACAGAGGAATACTATTTATTGGTTTGCTTTTCCCCTGATTGCTCAGCTACTTTATATATACAGCTAGACCTACCTGTTCAGGGATGGTATTGCCCACAATGGGCACTATGGGCCCTCCCACATCAATCACATGAAAAAAAAATGCCTACAGATATACCCACGGACCAGGCTAATGGAGGCAATTCTTCAACGAAGGGTCCCTCTTCCCAGGTGACTCTAGTTTGTGTCAAGTTGGCGAAAAACTAACTAGTACAAATGTCCTTAAAGCAAACAACTGTAGGGGACACAGCACTGCAGTGAAATTCTGTCTTCGGTGCCCTATGCTCCTGCCTGGGAACCTTTATCTTTGGAGCCATTCTCAAATGTATTCTCGTCCCAGTTGCTGAAGCTGCCTTTGCCAGTCTGGGTGTCAAAGAATCCTGGGTCAGTTGGCTGCTGGCTAGATATAGCCAAGAAAGGAGACAAGGGAAAATGAAGAATGGCAAGAAGAGAAAGACCAGAGAAAGTCATCCCCTCCCTCTGCCTGATGGCGTCATTTGATAGGTTGCACGTCACTGAATCCTCACATGAGGAACTGCAGTAAATCCTGAGCCCAGGTCCCCTGAGCTTTGAGGGTGACTGTGGTTCCCACGCAACCAACCCCTTTATGTCCTGTAAGCCCCTGACTGGTGTCCCTTCCTCAGTGCCTCTTGCTTCCCCTGATCCCACCGTTTTTCCCTCTCTCTCTCTCTGACGACTTTCTAACACTTTTGGGCTATGAATTTTATAATCCGCAGTCTCTTCCACACTCAGACATAGAAGTTCCATAGTGCCAGGAATCTTTGCTTTTTTTTCTTCTCTCACTGAGATTTGTCAAGAACACAAAAGTGTCTTCAACTGGTGATGGTGGATAATGCCTTTAATCCCAGCACATGGAAGATCAAGGCAGCTGGATTGCTGAGAGTTTGAGGCCAGACTGGGCTACAGCCTGAGACCCTGTGTTGAAACAAAAACAAAACAAAAGTGTCTGATACATAGTAAGTGCTCGATATTTCTTAAGTGAATGAATGAAGGGTGGGGAATGTAGCAGTAGGTAGAACACTTGCCTAGCATGCAGGAAACCCCAAATTAGGTTCCCAGCATCACATGTAATGAGCTTGGAAGCACACATTTGTGAGCCTAGCACTCAGGAAGTGGAGGCTGGAAGATCAGAAATCCCAGGTCACTCTAGGCTACCTAGCCAGAGACCCTGTCTCAGAAAGAAAAATAAAAGTTAAATGAATGACTAAAGCGAAGAAACAAGAAAGTATTTGTATTAGTTCAGGGTTCTCCAGAGGAACTGAACCTATAGAATGGAAGGAGTGGGAGCAAGTGGGAAAGAGAGAGGGAGGGAAGGTTTTTGTAAGAATTTAGCTATGCCAGATGGATGTGGTGATACACCTTTAATCCTAGCACCTGAGAGGCAGAGGCAGGTGGATCTCTGTGAATTCAAGGACAGCCACATCTGCATGGTGAGGCTCCATCTTAAGACAAGACAGTATGTGGCTACGCAGCCAGGGTGGCTGCTGTATCCTAAGCCTTGCAGCAATGAGCTGCAGACCCAGCAGAGCCAACGGTATAGTTCTAGTGTGACCATTAGCAGGCTCAAGACCCAGAAGAGTTGCTATTTCTGGGCAAGTCCAGAGGCTCAAGGGACCCAGACTGAGAGGCATGGGCCTTTCTCAGGAGAAGGCCTGCCTGTTCTAGTCAGGCCTTGGCTGGTTAAATGAGGTACACCCACGTTACGAAGGGTTAACATCTTTACTCCTTCTAACAATTCCAGGTTAATGTCATCCAAAAGCACCCTCACAAATACACCCAGAACCAGGTCTGAGTGGTATGAAGCCACAGCTGTCCTCTGTAGCTCAGGACAGCTGACATTGAAATCCATGTCACAATGTTGCAAAGGCAAAGGACACTGGGTTCATTCTGGGACCCTGCTGGGGATGGTTTAGATCTGTTGCCATTTACAGGACAGAAGGTGGGGTAACTTATTGGAGATTACCATGATACTGGTTTTACATGTGGATATGAAAAAAAAAATCATTATTGTTGTCCTTAGAGGACCTTTGGTGGCTCATGAGCGACAGGTGATCTTGTCCCCACCACAGGCACCAGACAGAAGGAGCTGGTCAGGGCTGAGGTGTACAGAGGAGAACAGCCTGAGACAGCCTGAGTTACTGTGGTGGTACAGGCGTGACAGTGTCTCGTGGCCACTTAAACTGCTCAGGGGCCTTCCTTGTGTTGAGAGAAGGGACATTTTATGGTATGCCCACAGACCTCGTCTTGGAGTGAGTCCCACTGGGAGGCTATCAGAGCCCCCTGGAAAGAAAGTCTCCTCCTATGCTCTTGACCAAACTGTAGGGTGCTGTCAGCAGACACATCCTCAGATCGTGGGTTCTGGAAGTGGATAGCAACCCAGCTATCAGCCCAAGCAGGACACTGAAACATGACGGAGACCCAATTTAAACTTCAAATTACCCAAACAACCCTTTTTTTTTTTTTTTTTTTTTTTTTTTTTTTTTTTTTTTTTGCTAGCTCCATCCTCATAAACAGTTTGGGTTCCTCTGTATATATAGCCACCATTTATGTACACAGGCATTTCAGGGGCCCTTGCCTGGATGCCCTCACACTTTGTAGATATTGGTAGGAATCTGGTTACAGTGCAAGCTTTGAGTTGCAATAAGGTGCCGATTGACATCACCCTGAGGAGTCACAAGCTTCGACACCCCCGTGAAACCGATAGCGTCACCCTTTCGCTAGCACACTTAGGAGACAGGGCAACAGCGTGGGCCCTGGACCTCATTATTTCCACCCACCATTTTAAAGAGATTCACTGCCTCCTACGAGTGATGGGACTGCCTCTGTGCCTCCTGTCAAGAGGAAAGCTGCGACTCATTCATCTCTTTGAAGCTTCTATGTGCATCTCTTCATAGTCCCCGGATGTAGGAATTTGCAGTTCTCTTGCTTTGACAGGAGGGGTGGATAAGTGAAGTCTTACCTCCTCCACTGTGGGGTTGACTCAGGAAAATGGCCATAGTTTGTACCGGCACACTGGTTCTTCAGCTCTGGTTCAGGGCCCTAAAGAATTATTTCTCTTGAGTAGAGCTGCCTTGTCAGCCTTGAGAGGAAGGCATGGAGCCGAACTCTGCCAAAAACAGTCCAACTTGGCGTGGGGCCAGCCAGCTGGCTGCGAAGCAGAGCCCTCTTCCAGCCTCTCCCGGCCCCCCTCCGGCTCCCTTTTTACAGCTGTCTGGCCTCAGGTAATCATCGGCACTCTGCGGGTCCCTGGCTCTTTTCATTCCCAGGTTTCAGATCACTTTACACACATTAATTAAGCCTTAAAACACTCAAGAAAGGAAAGCCAAAGCCGGTGGGGATGTTTGCAATGGGCTCCTCCATGCTCTGGCTGGAGAGCAGGCCAGCCCCGCCCTCACCCGGCCCCGCCCTCACCCAGGTGGAAGGTGGGAGCTTCTGGGTTCCCTGCAGAGTTGAAACCCCCTTCTACATGCCACAGAAGACCCGGTATTTATTACTGGCTCAGAATAATCATCCAACCCATCGAACCCCTTGATTTCTGGGAGGGATGAAAT